TGCCAGCCCTAGACCGTTTCGTTTAAACTCAGATGGGTCTACAAAAGAATCATACAGGCATGCCTCACAGGTATTTTGTGGGTTCAGTTTCAGACCACCATGAATTTTGTTGATTTCCTAGTATATACAAAAGTTATATTGTGCGATAGTCTGTCTGGATCTGTTAGGTGGCCGCCTTCACCAGTGGTCAAAGCCAGATCTTCTGGATGACCTGCTGCCGCTGCTATACCAGCACTTGGGGCTGACCTTGCACTTTCATCATGGATGTGGCTTCTTTCCTTAAACCTCATGAACCCACCTCTACTAGCTTGAAACTTTTTGTGCAGTTTCCTCACCTCTCTTAGCATTCACGGAATTGAAGAGAGTTAGGGCCTTGTCCTGGATCTGGCTTTGTCTGGTTTGATGTTCTGTCCAGACCACTAAGTGTTTCTTCCCATCAGCAGTAAGGCTGTTTCATGTTCTTCTCATTCATGCGTTCACTGTAGGAGGACTGCTGATTTCCTTCAGGAATTTTTCCTTTGCCTCCACAGCTTGATGCAAGAGAGATAGCTTTCAGCCCAGCTCAGTTTTCCAAATACCTTTCCCACTAAGCTTAATCATTTCTAGCTTTTGATTTAAAGTGAGATATGGAACTCTTCCTTTCACTTGAACACGTAGAGGCCATTATAGGGATTTCTGAAAAACTTACTTATTTTTACTTTTATTTGAAAGGCAGATAGAGATACTAAGAGAGACCTTACAACTGCTGGTTCACTCCTCAAATGTCCACAATAGCCAGGGCTGGGCCAAAACCAGGAACGTGGAACTCAGTTCAGGTCTCGGACATGGGTGACAGGACCCAAGTACTTAATTGAACCACCATCTAGTACCTCTAAGAGTGTGCATTTGCAGGAAGCTGGAATCAAGAGTGAATCTGGGACTCCAGCCCAGGCTTTCTGCAGGAATCCCAAGTGGCAAATGCCCACCCTGCCTTAGGGCTTTAACAGTAGCCATCATGTCTCGGGAATCTGGAGGCCCACGGAGAAAGAGATGCAGGGAATGGGAGGTCAGTGGAGCAGTCAGATAAACACAGCATTTGTGGCCTAAGTTTACTTTCTTACGTAGCTATGGTTCATGACTCTTCAGAAACAACTGCAGTAGTTAACATCAAAGATTGCTGATCACAGATCACTACAGCAGATGTAATAATGAAAAAAGTTTGAAATATTAGAATTTCCAAAATGTGACAGATACCAAGTAAGCACATACTATTGGGAAAAAATGGTACTGATAACTTTTTTGTAGATTATGTATTTGAAAGGCACAGTGACAGGGAGGAAATTTTTTTAAAGATTTATTTATTTGAATTAATAAATAATAATAGGTTTGTTCCCCCTGTAAGCAGGCATGTTGTATTATAATCTTGAGCATTCTTGACAGGCTCTTGTCTGTCTTATCAAAAGCAACTATGTGCTGGTTGAAAATGGGAAGCAATAATATTCTTCTGACCAGTTTTCTCTTAAAGCCATTTCCATGATGATGATGATGATGGGACTCAATTACATTTTTTTATTTCAGTCACTCCTGATAAATAATTTGAAGAAATGAAAATACACACAATAAAAAAAAAAGATTTATTTATTGGAGAGGCAGAGTTACAGACTGGTGACAGAGGGAGAAACAGAGAGGAATTCCATCTGCTGATTCACTCCCCAAATGGCCACAATGGCTAGAGGAAGTTCTTCTGGGTCTTCCACATAAGTATTGGGGCTCAAGCACTTGGGCCATCTTCCACTGCTTTCCCAGGCCGTTAACAGACAGCTGGATGGGAAGAAGAGCATCTGGGACATGAACTGGTACCCTCATAGGATGAGGCAAAGGCTTAGCCTACTGTGCCACAAGTGCTAGCCCCAAAAAAGAGATCTTCCATGCACTGATTCTCTGTCCAGATTCCCTTCATAGCCAGGGCTGGCTGGGCCTTGTGGAAGCCAGGAGCCAGGAATTCCATTTGAGTCTCACGTGGGTGGCAGGAATCCAGTTACTTGAGCCGTCATCTACTGCCTCCTAACACGTTAGTAGAAAACTGGAGCAGAAGCATAGGCAGGACTCCCTCGCAGACACTATGATACGAGATGTGGATGTCCCAAGCGGTGACTTAACCCACTGTGCCACAGCTCCCACCCTGATAGTACACGTTTGATGCAGGGTTGCTGCTTTTAAAAACATGAAGCACAGTATCTCTGAAGCATGGTAGTGCAAAACACAGTAAAATAAGGTATACCTGCAATTAATAACAATAAACTTGCTGAAGCTCACATGTTTTTGTTTGACCATTGAAATTGAGCAAGTGAGGCTGAGGTATTCTGGTAAGGAAAAATATGCTTTCTCTGCCTTTCATGTTTAGAAATAGATAAGGCAAGAATGGGCAGAATTTAAAGATAAATAATGAGGGTTATATGGTTTTTCTCTCCTTTATCTTCTCAGATCTGTTGGGAAAGATAAGAAAGCTATTCAGGCATCAATTAGACGCAATAAGGAGACCAACACAGTCTTGGCCAGATTGAATAGTGAGTTGCAGCAACAATTAAAGGTACTGTAGTTTCCAAATTTATATTTCAGGACTTTTAAGAACTCAAAGCATCTTAGACTTGAAGGTAGAGGTGATCCAATAATTTCTTAAGCTTGTATGAAATGTTCCATGAAGCAATAGAAATGTGTATCTAAAATGTTTTATGGAATTTTTTTCCTAAAAGTTTTTTATACTCAGTTAATTGCCTTATATATTTATATAGACATACACACACACACATATATATGGTTTTACTATTCCTATAATGTTAACTTTCATGAAGAAACCTAATGAGAAATGTTGGGATCTCAGGTATCTCCAGGATCACATACACAAGTCTACACTGTGTTTAATTCTTAGCTGAATTGAATGTTATTAGTTTTTTGTTTTATCAAAGACACCTCAAAGTCTATTAAAGAAACCTAAATGGGTCTAAAGGAGAATTTATATCATCATTCCTGTGGAAGAAAGACAAGCTTAAGCCTAAAAATTGAAATGGTGTGTGTGCGTAGTGTTCTGCTGTCATCTAATACTCGAGGGGAATAGCTTTTCTCGCTGTTAACCATGGTTTATTTGAATCCCTATCAACAAATTACACCCAGCAGCAGTTAGGGCTCACCCACATTATTAAGCACTTAAATTCTTATGAACCAGTGTTTCTGAAACCTTATGTATATACACATGATCTGGGGTCATATTAAAGTACAGATTCTGATGTAGTAGGTCTGGGGTGGGCCCTGAGATTTCTAATAATGTTCCAGTGATGGAGATGCAGCTAGATTGTTGGCCTCAGAAACAGTATCATGTCTTAACTAGAACTATCACTTCCTGAGAGAAAGGAAAAAAATAAGAATTTGGTGGTTCTCTGAAAAGATGACCCAAAATCCACAGTGATAAAAATTCTGAATGCAAAATGGATTTATTCTTTGTGAAACCAAAATTAAAAATGAGATCTAGTCCAACATGGGAAGTGGGATACACAGCAGACTCATAGAATGGCAGATGTCCTAAACAGCACTCTGGCCTCAGAATCAGCTCTTAAGTCATTCGGATCTGGCTGAAGAGCCCATGAGAGTATTTTAGGCATGGAAAGCCAAGACACTCTGGCAAAAAAAAAAAAAAAAAAAAACCTACATGAAAGATCTCTGTGAGTGAGATCCCAGCAGAAAGAATGGGCCATCAAAGAAGGAGGTACCTTTCTCTGAAGGGAGGAGAGAACTTCCACTTTGACTATAACCTTGTCTGAATAAGATCAAAGTTGGCGAACTCAAAAGGCTTCCATGGCCTTAGCAACTCATGACAAGAGCCTCGGGTGATTACTGATGGCATAAACAAGAGTGTCAATTTGTTAAGTCAACAACAGGAGACACTGTGCACTTACTCCTTATGTAGGATCTCTGTCCTTAATGTGTTGTCCAATGTGAATTAATGCTATAACTAGTACTCAAACAGTATTTTTCACTCTGTGTTTCTGTGTGGGTGCAAACTGATGAAATCTTTACTTAATATATACTAAATCGATCTTCTGTATATAAAGAGAATTGAAAATGAATCTTGATGTGAATGGAAGGGGAGAGGGAGAGGAGAGGTCGAGGGTGGGAGGGAAGTTATGGGAGGGAAAAGCCACTGTAATCCATAAGCTGTACTTTGGAAATTTATATTTGTTAAATAAAAGTTAAAAAAAAATGAGATCTAGGAGTTGCTGTAATCAGATTCCATCACTGTTAATTAGTCTACAGTTAGTTCAGGGAGCAGGCTTTATGCAAAACCATGCATTAAACACTACCCATTCATTGCAAATATTGGTTTTATTGGTTTTTCTAGCAGTTAGCCAATAATTTTATTATCCTGATTTATATAATGAAGTGTAGATTACTAGCATTGTACTTTAATGTAATGAACATAGAAGCATACTTTTAAAAAGGCAGTTTGTAAGTATGTGAATAGCCTTAAAATTCAAATTGATTTCTTGAAGCAGAACTGTTAGATGTGTCTTCATTTTCATATGCTTTGAAACATAGCTGACCTTCGCATCTTTTGCAGGATGTGCTTGAGGAGAGAATTTCCCTGGAAGTTCAACTGGAACAGCTTCGACCATTCTCTCACCTCTAAGCCAATTGCCATTAACTGTGAACATACCCATTTTTAAGCAGTTTTGGGATCAAAGCCAATTTGGAGACCCAGTCAGTGTACTGCTTAATTCAACGTTAAATTTTATGATTGTTTTGTCCTACATGTTCACCATTGTATTTAAGTATCTTTTATTTTTTAATTTCAACAATAAAAGGGTCAGGATGACTTTTTCTGGAGGGTACGTTGTGTTTGTTGCACTCCCCAACCCTTGCTACTCCTTAGCATCAGGAATACTGTAAGATGGGTCCCTTACATTTATGTGGCCAAAGCTGCACCCTGATTTGATTTACAAAATGGAATTCTCATTTACATCTCAAGTAGAGACAAATTTTTGAAAACGGAAGGCAAAATTGTCAATTTGCCCTCTGCAGCTTATAAAACACCTACTTATTCTGTAAAAAGCTTTAAAGTAAGTTTCATGTTTATTTTAAAGCACTAGATTGATTGTAGGCAGTTTTCACCAATTTTTCACCAATTCACTAACAAAGGCTTCTTCCTTGCAGTAATCAGCATTCTGCAGGAGTTCATTAGGCTTCAGACATCTCTTGCCTATCACCTTTGGGGTTAGATATTTTCCTTGCCAAACCTGGAATTTTTTGCGAGAGATTTCAGTAATCATGTAAACTCATGAAGTAGCTGTGAGATCAAGTCATTCTTGATTGTCCCTGGGGGAGAAGCAGAAGTGTGAAGCCTAAGTACTGTCCACTTAGACGCTGCTGCTTTTCACACGATAGACCACCCAGTCACCCAGTTAGCTGTCAGTTTCCAGAGGTGATTTTCAACATGCTTTAAAACTTCTGAATATATCAGTTATTCACAGAATTAACGGACGCTCCTTAAGGTTTCTAGTTTTACTATCCGCTGCCTTCTCATGGATTCTTCTGGACAGGACCAGTTTTACCTGCTAACAAAGTTTCTAGAATGTCCCCTATTCAGGACAATATAGTGTCTTGGGGATATGATTTACTTTCTATGATATATTCATTTTGATGACATTTGTAAATTTACATTCAGTGCTAAAGCAGATATGTTCAACTTTAAAATTTATTCTATCTGTGGGATCATGGACTGTACAGTACTTTCACAGAACGAGAAATATGCTTTATACTAATAAAACCATACATTTAAACTTTTGTATATTTTTAACAAGAATTTATACTTTTAGAAATTAGAATTCACTTGCATTGTGGAAAGACAAAAAAAAAATCTAAATAGCCTAGGTTCACAATCCTAGACTTTACTATTAGTTTTATTACTTTAATAGGAAGCAAAAAGAAAACTGACAGCCTGTAGTTTCCAAGATTAATATAGCTTTCATCTAATATTAACTATGTAAAACTGCTACTACTGCCACCTACATCAGCTGAAGTTTTCACGTGACCAACAGGTTGTAGTTTCACTTTGTTCAGTAATTAGCCAAAGGCTGTAAAGGCCCAGGAAATTACTCAGCAGCTATTTTGTAGTTTGTTTTAAACAAGATTGTTTTAATTTCATTTTTTGAAGTATTTCTTTACACAACAGAGCACTTCTAGCCACTGGTTTGCTCAGGTTCATCTAACAGCTGAGGCTGGGCCAGGCCGGGGCCAGGAACTGGGAATTCAATCAGGCACTCCCATATGAGTGACAGGAATCAAATTATTTGAGTCATTATTGCTGCCTCCCATGGTCTGCATTAGCAGGAAGCTGGATTCAGGGGCCAGAGCTAAGTATCGAAGCCGGGTACTTCACTGTGGGTTGTGGGCATCTTCACTGCTAGGCAATGCCTGCAATGACTAGGGCTAGGCCACGCCAAAACCAGGAGCTGCTTCCGGGTCTCGCATCTGGGTACAGGGGCCCAAGCATTTGGGCCATCCTCCACTGCTTTCCTAGGTGCATTAGCAGGGAGACGGATTGTAAGTGAACAGCCAGGACTCAAACTGGTGCCCACAGGGATGCCAGCATTGCAGGTGTCAGCTTTACCTGCCATGTCACAATGGCAGCCCTTAGTGGTATATCTTTACTACCCTAAAGGAGTCCATTCATATTTAAGGGCATGCATGACACATTTTTTAGTAAATTGCCATTTTTTATATTTTCAAGTCAGTAATTCTCTCAGGAAGATATCAAAGGTGATTGGTACATCACCAACAAATTAAAATATTTTTCTAGACTGATCATTTAAGAAATAATTCTGGGAGCCAATGCTGTTGCATAATAGACTAGACCTCTGCCTGCAGTGCTGGCATCCCATATAGGTCCAGTTTGTGTCCCAGCTGCTCTTCCCATCCACCTCTGTGCTATGGCCAGGGAAGGCAGTAGAAGATGGCCTAAGTGCTTGGGCCCCTGCACCTGCGTGGGTTACCAAGAGGAAGCTCCTCGCTACTGGCTTTGGATTGGCCCAGCTCTCTCTGTTGTGACCATTTGGGGAGTGATGAACCAGTGGATGGAAGACCTTTCCCTCTCAAATCTTTAAAAAAAATTACAGTTCTGATTTTATCTCATTATATCAAATATGTACACAGTATCTCACTTTGTCTTTGGTTTCTTCACATAAGTTCTAAATATTTTCTGTAAAAAATGACTACCAAAAAGAGGAGTTTGAAATTTTGAACTCAGATTGTTCTCATTGTGCTTTCCACATAACTGACTGTAAATGAAATAGTTTAAAAGCTGGAAGCCACCTCCCGGGTCCTCATAGTTCATCCTGTCATCATCCATGACAGTCATTCTGCTGGTTCCTGGATATTCTGGAATGACAAATGCACATCTGTCTTCGCCAGGGAGAACTGGCACCGCTGATGTTTTCTGTAAGCTCAGTCTCACCTGTCCATACTACTTCTGATTGCATTTTGGAGTACTGACAGCCACAGGAATTTGTCATCCTCCAGCTCTGTAGCACAAATCCATTCACGTTTTGGACCTTGAAGAATAAATGCATTCCTGACATCTGTAAAAGCATTCAAAAGGGTATGCTAATTAATGGAGAAAATAGTTTCAAGAATTGCCTAAAAATATTCAAAATGAGTACAAATTCAGTTCAGAATAGAATTTCCTAAAATTCTTGAGTAATTCTAAAATATGCTTAACCTCATAATTATTTAATTAACTATTTTGAAGACCAAATGATAGGGCTGGTGCTGTGGCATAATTGGCTAAGCCTCGGCCTGCAGCACTATCATCCCACATGGGTGCTGGTTCGTGTCCCAGCTACTCTTCCCATCCAGCTCCCTGTCAAGGCCTGGGAAAGCAGTAGAAGATGGTCCAAGTCCTTGAGCCCCTGTACCCACATGGGAGACCCAGATAAAGCTTCTAGCTTCAGATCGGCCCAGCTCCGTTTGCTGTGGCCATTTGAGGAATGAACCAGTGGATGGGAGACCTTTCTATGCCTATCTAATTCTACCTCTCAAGTAAAATTCTTTAAAAACTTTAATGACTAAATGATAGGTGACCTGATATTTTTGATTCCTCGTCTCCGTCACTCCAGAAGGAACTGGACTCAAAGGTCTTTACTAAGGATTGTCATAGATACACACAGCTAGACCTAGACAACCCTGACAGGAGGCCCATAGATAGAAGTGAGGCAACCACTGCACTTAGACTCTTGGTTTTGTAGCAGTGTTTTTATGTAGGGCATGCTGCTGATTTGGGGAGAAGAACTGAAAGGAGACATGTTTTACAGTATTTAACCAGACCCACAGTTTATATTTAACCAACTTTTTTTAGATGAATTTGTCTTGTAAGGTGAAAATACTTGCTCCCACACTGGGAGTTTCTCAGGCTCAGATTGGGAATAGGGCTGAAGCCTATTGGGAAACAGCTCTTAGAGCAGATCCTTCTCTAAAATCTTGGTTCCAGCCTTAATTTCAGGCACCGTCTATACATGGCAGTGAGAAACGCTGTAATCAGAGGTACACTCAGATTATCTGCCTAACAGATAGAGGAGCGGGATCCTTTTAAGCTTGGAAGTCAAATGTAGGATAACCACAAATAACTTTTTGTGACAAGGAGTTTCTTTCAGAAATGAGTGAAATATTCAAGTTATCAGTTCGCCTTGGCAAATCTGTTGACTGTTTTATGGACAAATTCCCACCTGAAATGTAAATTTAAAGGGTATAATCAAATCTTAGTCCTAGTGGAATGGAAATGAGGTGAAAACCAACCGAAATGTACGCGTCACTGGCACCGGCAACGCCCTCAGGGAACGGGGGAGGCCCCAGCTCTCAAGTTGCACTGCTTCAAAACCCCTCACAATGCTGTGGCCCTGGCTCCTTTGTGTGTCTTGAAAGCTGTTTTCCTAACGCCAGGAGTTCATGTCTGAGGATACCAGCTAGCCCGTCTTTTCGCTTATTTCAGAGAGAACGGTTGACATTCTTTAATGCAGGCCTAACACACTAGGAATTATTTGCGAACTGGCGAATCGCAGTCCTACTCCTACTTCCCTAATGTGGTCCTGTCGGGGCTCTGTGTGACACAGCTGTGTGGAGAGTCGTTCCGTGGGAGGAAAAGCACACGTACACTTGGAATCTGGGATGTCTTCCACGAGTAAGCTGTGAAGCGTCACTGATGCAATGAATTGGTAGGTTGTCTTCGAAGTCCTTTGGAATGGCGTGTACGCCTCGGCCCGGCCAGACACGAGCAGGACGTCATTGAAGAGGAAGAGGCTGAGGTCACGGACGTGTTGGTAGAGGCTGTGTGCGGGCGGAGAAAGGGGTAGTTTTAATACATCATAAATCGGTCCTTTCATACACAATTAACCATCTCTGAGTTGATAAGCAAGCTGCCCTGGTGTTTACCCCACAGCTGGCCTTTGGACTCGTCCATTGGGGTTCTCTGTAATTTTCCTCCTTGCTCAGTCTGATTCAGTGGGCCATCAAGTTCCCGGTGGCATGGTTTGAGCTTGCTCCTTGAACAAGTCTTACGTACGTCATCAGTGTGGGGAATGTGAACCTTCTTCTCTATGAAATGAGTCACTTTATACCTGTCTCTCAAACATTAGCAAATTTGGTATTCCTCATGTTTCATGTATTTGGGTGATCCAAGGAAAGTAAGGGTTTCTTGTTTGTTTTCTCTTTAAGGGTAACAGGTTGAGGTAGAGAAAAACAAGAACTGATACGGTACTAGGTATCTCAAGTAGAAAGCAGGACAAAGAAAAGCAGTCAGTTGCTAGAGGGAAGTAAATTCCCAGTTTTCACTGGAGAGTAATTGCTAAGTGGTCTAATATATTTCAACAGTTTGCAAAATAAAACAGTTCATTTTCACTGCCGAAGCTCTCAGGGTCAGCTGTGGTAGACATTATTTATCCAGGGGCTGAAGGGGATGTCCTCAGCCTCCCATCTGTTTGGTTGCACCAAGCCACTGGTTGCTAGGTTGCACTGCACTGTAGTGTTTACCCTGTGTGAGTGACTAGAGAGCATCAAGGGATGCCTCAGAGATGAGCAGGGGAGCCCCAACCCACTCCCATTCCCTCTGTCCCCTCCTCCCTAGGAGTGGCCAAGTGAAGGAAGCTGAACGTTTTTAGGGAGGATAATTTCTTTCCTCTTAGAAGGCAATCAAACAACCCTCAGGAAGTGACTCTAATGAAGAGAACAGAGTTCAGGGGTGTCTATCTTCACCATCTTTAAATTGTCAGCGTAGAAACAGTTTTAAAGAAATGCATGTATGACATTAGTGTATACCGTTGGCATTTAATCATTGTATGGAACTATTTCTTTCCATTTCTGCATTGTGCTTGGCTCACCACCCCTCTGCTCAGGTCACCTAAATTACAACCTAACACATCGCCTCCCTTTTCTGTACTTGCTCAGGGACTCACACAGCTGTACACACATCTGTTTACAAGAAAGTTGCCATTCTTGACAAAATGCTCAGATGATCTCCACATTTTTCTTGCTTTTCTCAGCAGTGGGAATCGCTTCAAGCTAGTTGGTATGGCTTCAGTTCATTCTTTTTAATGGTGAAATAGCCCTTCCTGTGTGGAGGGAATATCATTTATTCACTTTGCAACTTTTCCATGAGCATCTGCTATGTTGAGAGGCTGGAGTCATTCTCTCTTCTCTCCCTCTCTTTTTATTATCACTATGAATGATATTGTAATAAACTGATTCCTTACATATAAATCCCTTATCTATACTATTACTTCTCTCAGATAGGCATCCCAAGAGCAGGAATAACCAGTCAAAGGAGATATGTCTTTAGCAAAAACTATCATTGACTTTTTTTTTTTTTTTTGACAGGCAGCGTAGACAGAAAGGTCTTCCTTTTCCGTTGGTCCCCCCCCCCCCCATGGCTGCTGCTGCTGGTGCGCTGCGGCCGGCGCACTGTGCTGATCCAAAGTCAGGAGCCAGGTGCTTCTCCTGGTCTCCCATGCAGGTGCAGGGCCCAAGGACTTGGGCCATCCTCCACTGCACTCCCGGGCCACAGCAGAGAGCTGGCCTGGAAGAGGAGCAACCGGGACAGAATTCGGCGCCCCAACCAGGACTAGAACCTGGGGTGCCGGTGCCGCAGGTGGAGGATTAGCCTATTGAGCCGCGGCGCTGGCCTATCATTGACTTTTATAACACATCTTAAATGATGACGACTATTACCTGCACCTAATTTAATGGGCATCTAAATTACCAGCAAATTCCGATGCAGTAGAGCTAGGGTGGCCTGAAATTCTGCAAGGTTTCTAGAAAGATCACTAGTGATGCTGACTCTACTGATCCATAGGCCACGGTTTGAGATGTACATGCTTAAGTCATTATTGGTTACAACCATGTGTAAGAGCTGGGCAGGACTAGATCACACAGTTGGAAAGCTTCAAGGAGTGCTATGCTTCAAGTTCAGGTATTTGAAGAGTGTTCAAAAGTATGAATTACCTTAAGTGTGGATAAATGGAAACGCAGAGGTTACCCAACCACTAGAGCCAGCTATTCCTTTCTAACATTTCCTTCCTGCCTTTGGGTATGATTTAGGCTGGAAGGAGTAGGGTCCTTCACATTTACCGATACCTTGAAAAAAATAACGTAGATCAAGCTGATAGGTTGTTCTGAGAAAAATGGAGCAAATAGAACGGACAAGGGAGAGAGCGGAAACAAGGAGTATACTCTGAATATGAATGTGATGGCAACAGGTGACGAGCGGCCACTTAGGCAGGGGAATTCCACCATGCTGGTTATTTTGGCTGGGGAGGGAGGAGACAATATTCTAGCCAGATCAGTGGTAAGAATGGTTATTTTTCCAATCGTGCAAGTATAGAAAAATGTTTAAAGCTGTAATAACACACTCAATTACCAGGAAATATGTCTAAAGGGTGCGTGGCTTTGGAACATGGATGTTCAGTTTTTGCCTTTAGAAAAGACAACATTGAGAGCAGAAGTAAGTGAAAGAGAATTCTGGTTTGTGACCCATTGGTTTGAGGGCTGGAAGGAAGGGACAGGCACAGTAACTCAAGGTTGAAGCTGCGGGCATAGTGAGGGCAAGGTAAGCACACAAATGGATTCTTATTCCAATCTGACTATGAGAATGTTATTTAAAGTATGTACACAAGCCATAAATTTTTATCTAGAAAAAGCTTTTCAGAAGCCATTTACTAAACTAAGCCCTCCAATCTCTCCAAAACCGGGAGCTTTAAAAAATAATTCTTATGCAAAAGTGAAAACACTGACATGCTGGAGCAGCTGAAATGGAAACCATGGCCCTGGGGGTGCTTCAGAAAGTCGGCTCTGCTCACACTCAGAACCCACTCCAAGAGGGGTTGCTTAGTTTTGTTTTGTTTTGTTTTCCCCTGAACTTGAGTAGGATTTCTGTTTGTTTACAAATAGGTTCAATGAGTCACCAAAATAGAACATAGCTCCTTGGCGTAAATTCTTAACTACATTCTAGACATGTTTAATTATTATTATTAAACTACTGTGTTAACTAGCCCAAGAGACAGAAAGGCCCAAAGTCTCCTGAAACCCAAGCAATGCCATTCTCATGATTTCCATCAGGAATTCTTAGAGAAAACATACTCTGCTTATATTTACATATACAGAACTGACTCACATTAATAGAAGGCTTTAGGGATTTAACTTCTCCTGTTTGGTAACTTCCCTACAGTCATTTGGTGAGGCTGGTTGCAGGGGGGCGGGGGGGGACCGAGTTACTGGAATCCAGGGAATCTGACTGAAGGTGCCTAAGGTCACAGAACTGGTAAGTGCTGGTCTGCAATTCAGAACCAGGTCTCACTTGCCAGGATAGTGCTGTTTGCAGCTGATGGACCAGCAGGTGGAAAGATGAATGGAACCTTCCGTTAACATAAACTTACCACCATACCCGCAATTACTAAACAGACAGCAAACAAGAGCCATGACACACAGAGAACAAGCAGGTGTTTGCACTTTAAATAAAAAAAAAATTACTGTGGGATAGAGATGAAATCATATTATTTCTGTGACCTCAGGTAGACAGAATCACCGTTTATCTGAAACAAGAAAACCACCCGCTGGAGCAAGCAAGGAGTGGGAAGAAGAAAAGAATAAAAATTGGGCTTGCTGGAGATTGAGTGTGGACTAACTTGAGCAGTTAAAAACTAAGCGGCCCCTAGGGACCTTAACAGACATTTTTCAAAAGAGGAAATCCAAATGGCCAACAGACACATGAAAAAATGCTCAGGATCCCTAGCCATCAGGGAAATGCAGATCAAAACCACAAAGAGATTCCACCTCACTCCGGTTAGATTGGCTTACATACAGAAATCAACAACAGATGCTGGCGAGGATGTGGAGAAAAAGGGACACTAATCCACTGTTGGTGGGAATGCAAACTGGTAAAGCCACTATGGAAGACAGTCTGGAGAATCCTCAGAAACCTGAATATAGCACTACCACAGGACCCAGCCATCCTACTCTTTGAAATTTACCCAAATGGAATTAAAGGGGTGAAAAAAGCCATTTGCACCTCAATATTTGTTGCAGCTCAATTCACAATAGCTAAGACATGGAATCAACCTAAATGTCCATCAACGGATAACTGGATAAAGAAACTATGGGATATGTACTCTATGGAACACTATACAGCAGTAAAAAACAATGAAATCCGGGCATTTACAACAAAATGGAGGAAGCTGGAAAACATCATGCTGAGTGAAATAAGCCAGTCCAAAAGGGACAAATATCATATGTTCTCCCTGATCGATGGCAACTAAACGAGCATCTAAAATGATACCCATTGAAGTGAAATGGACACTATGAGAGACAATGACATGATCAGCCCTTGTCTAGACTGTTGAGGAACAACTTACTATTTTATTCCTTTTAGTATTTTTGTTGTTGTTGTTGTTGCTCTGTTTGTTCTACATAAGACCACTGGTTGAACTCTGTAATCAATGCACAATCATTCTTAGGCGTTTAAAATTAATAGAAAAGTGATCTCTGTTAAACATAGGAGTGGGAATAAGAGAGGGAGGAGATATATAGGACGGCACATACTCACTCAGACCTACCTCCAATAGTGGAACTAGAAATGTGCCAGGGGATTTCAACTCAATCTTACCAAGGAGGCAGGTACCAATGCCAGCGCACTTGGTAAAGTGATAAGTATAAATACACAACCGATCAAAAAGATAGGGTATGTGTTGATGAGATTTCACAAATAAGACCAGTGTAAGCAAATAATGAAGGATGGAATTAAAAGGGAGAGAATGATCCTGTGGGGGAAACAGGACACA